TATATATATATATATACTTTTTTTAATATTGGATAAATTGTTGTTGTTTGAGATGAAGGAGAAGGAAAAAAGTGAAAGGAAACTAATTAGATTGAGGGATGAAGTAACAGAATTTTAAGAGAAATTTTTTTATGGTTAACTGGCAAAAAGGTTGGCTGCAAAAAAAGGCTAGAAAAAAGGTACTGCAAATTTTATTGCTGCTAAATATTTTTTGGCATTTTACTGACTAAATTTACAGCTTTTTTTTGTATCAGAGGAATAAAATAAGATGAAAAAAATTAGACAAGAAAAATTGTTTTTTTTTGGGTAGAGTAACAGAAGCGATATTTTGAAGTCTTTTATATGTCAAATCAGTATTTTCTTCGTCATTTTCAGTTGACAGAGCAGAAAAAAAAAACGAGTAACTTACTGTGTTAGAAGGTTTTTCGTTTTTTCATTTTTTTTTTCGACGAAAGGAGTCAAATATCAGTGTCTATTTATTGTCTAATACCAAGAAGAAACTGAAATAAAGCTTTGGCAATACACTGATATACAGTTGCAGCTGTAGTTAGTAAGCTGGTTGTTAGTTGGTACCGTCTGTTTTGAAGAGTGAACAACCAGAGGAACAGTGGTGTGTTGTTCCATGTTTGATGATACGTCAATATGGACATAGGTTATGTAAAAGCACTGTAAGGTTCTGAGATATTTACTTTTTCTTTTGATGTAATCTTTATTCTATTGCTAGTCCTTAACACTGGTCATTTTATTTTTCCATCTTGATGTTTTATTATCGTATCTATATGCAAATTATTGACGCGAACCGCAGCTTTAGATTTCAGTTGAAAGGAGAAAATTATTTTTGAAGAAAAATTTTTTGACAAGGGATATGTTGCTTTTATTTTAGCGAGTTTAGCTGCTAGTGAGGAGAAGTAGTAAATGATTTAATTTGTTAAACAAAAATTTGATTAAAGCCTTATTTTTTTTCATTTTGTTTTGTTTTGATTTGTTTTCAAAACTTTTTAGTTTCTTGTTTTGCTTTGCTGTTTTCTTTTATTTTTTGCTTTCTCAGTTGTCGTTAACTTTTGAAGGAAACAAACTTTCGAAATCTGGAAGGTATTACTGCATACATAAAAAAACGCCAGTTTTTCGAATATCGAATACTGCAGTTCCACTATTTTCTATTTTGGTCTAATTGAGTACTTGAAAGCAAAAGGTATTTTGAAAGAACGAGTTTAAAAGGGGAGGTAGAAAGAGGTAGAAGAGGAGTTGAATTTGAAGGGGGAGGAACTGTAAAAAAAAAGGGTGAGGAGAAGGAGGAGAGAGGAGGGAGTATGACAGGCATGGAATGATTTTGCAAAAAAGAGGAATTGATGTGGACTTCTTTCTTTTAATTTTATTCTTTTTCAGTGTTTTTTTTTCTTGTCGTTCCAACAGAGGAACTGTTAACTGTTGAAAACTGTTACGAATATCCAGTCTTTTTTCTGGCAATTTATTTCGTTATCGCATATTTTACATACTCTTTAATGCTTTAGTTAGGTTGCTATTTGTTTTTGTTATTGTTTTTTTTATTTTTATTGTTGCTGTCGTCGCCGTTAAATAAAAATCTAAACATTAGTTTGGTTTCGATCGCAGTTTACCGTAGCACTTTCTTTAATGCTGAAAGTTGATCAAAGGATATTTGGTAGGGAGTTTGAAAGGAAAAAGGAAAAGGGGAGAAGAAAGTTTCACATGTCAAATGCTTATTAAAAATTTTTTTGGATACCAATAGTGATGGTGACATTGATGAGAATACTGGCAGAAGAAAATATATTTTTTCACTTTCCCAATATTGTCTTTTTTCTACTACGACACTGTTTGGTATCCGCAACAAATTATATCGAAAACGACTGTTTGATCTTCTCGTTATTTTATTCAGCAGCTCAGAAATGCCTTTTAATTGTTTTCTCTTTTTTTTCTTTTTTTGTTTTTTTGTTTTGTTGGTTTTTTTAAATCGTTTTTTTTTTGGTCATCATCAGTTGCTACTTTAAAGCATTTATGGGTTTTGATTGTTGAACGATGAAATGAAATCTGGCAATTGCGTGTTTAGTAGCTTATAAATCAGAGGAAATTTTTTTTAAAAGTTATTAGACAATACCAAAAAGATAAATGAGGTTCAGATAGGGAGGAACACCGACTTCACAATTTTGTATATCAGTGAATTAGATGAAGGAAATTAAAAAGGCTCATCATTGTTGTCTAAAGTTCTTTTT